CCTAAAACTTGTCACGAAAGTGCAATAGAGACCTTAAATTGTCAAAAAATGCAATCAAATCCTGAAACTTATCGTGAAAGTGCAATTGAGTCCTAAAACTTTTAAAAAATGCAATCAAATCTTAAAACTTATCACGAAAGTGCAATCGAATCCTAAAACTTTCAAAAAGTTCAATTAATAGAAGAACTTGATTAGATAAATTTAACAAGTTTTAAGACTTGATTATACTTTTTGAAAGTTTTAGGACTCAATTGCACTTTCATACAAATTTTAAGACTTAATTGCACTTTCGTGACAAGTTTTAGAATTTCCAATTCACTTATCCCCATATTTAATATATCTTCATAAGGGTGCATCTTCCGCTTTACATGACATTTGAAAATGTATTTCCATCTTGCCACAAATGAGTAACGACATTCCTTCATGTAATTAGTTAACTCCAAGTATACAAGACTTGAATGAACTATGGCATCTCTTAGAAGTAAGATTTGTACATTAAAACTTGTACGGGACAATTGAAAAAAATCGACCTAGTTAGGTATAATGGAGGACAAATAGCGTAAGTGCTGGGATTATTGTCTAGCGAAAACCAAATTTTTTTTTTGGGTCTAAATCTAGCACAAATTAAAGAAGAGATAAAATGACCAAACAGACCGGATTTTGCATGCGGCGACTTTACCATCAGTAAAATGGAATCAAAGGGCGATGTAGTCTACGATTGATAGGGAAAGCAAAAACCCAATTTGTTAAGGACAAAAGGGTATCTAAGCCCAAAAGAAAAAGAGGCAGAGAGAAAGGCACTTAGTCCCAGAATTATAAGATTTAACTATAAGGTTTCAACCCTCAAAAGATTCGCCCGTACTTTCATTCACGGCTCTTACAGCAACAATCAAATGGCCATCAAGAAGCCACACTGCACCATAATTCGATTTCAGCCGCTAGACTCTTTTAAGAAACTTCAGCTCATGATGGATCATCATCGACGAGTGAAGATTCGTCCCAGCGGAAAGTCGCTCGATCATTTAGAATCGCGGGACGCATGTGCACCCTCGTCCACCCAACCCCTTCACTATAATGTTTTTAATTCGCAAAAAGAAGTTGTGTATTTCGTACTTATTAAAGGCCGAAGGAGCTAGGGTGTGCGGTGGCAGTTGGCATGTCCTATGCATCTAACCGTCGTTGTTATCATCAGTCTGTCATGTCCGCCCTCCTTCATCTTCTTATCCATTTCCCGACATGAGCTTGAGCTTGGGGAATTCTTCTTATTGAAGAATGTTTGATTGGACAATAATGTGGTCGTGATGGGAAAATTACTAAAAAAGTCCTAAACCTTTTACAATTGTGCCAATTCAGTCATAAACCATTTTTTTGATTTCAGTCCTAAACCTTTTCTATTGTCTAATTCGGTCTATCCGCCACTTTTGCCATGCCGAGTGGACGCGCCGGCTTACGTGACATTATTTTAATATTTTTTTTCCTTTTTTTTTTTTCCTTCTTCCCCTTGGCCGGACCGGCTAGGGGGAGGCTCGCCGGCCATGGCGAGGTCGAGCTCGCCGGCCGTGGGCGACGGCAAGGCCTTGCCTAGATCTGGCGAGACCTCGCCATCGCTGGGCAAGGTCGAGCTCGCCCGGCAACGGCGAGGTCTCGCCAGATCTGGGCGAGGCCTTGCCGGCCATGGGCGACTCTGGCGAAACCTTGCCGTTGCCCATGGCCGGCGAGCTCGACCTCGCCATGGCCGGGCAAGGTCGACCTCTCCCATGGCCGGCGAGGTCGGCCTCGCCATGGCTAGCGAGGTCACCTCGCCGGCGAGCCTCCCCTTGGCCGGTCCGGCCAGGGGGAAGAAGGAAAAAAAAAAAAGGAAAAAAATATTAAAATAATGTCACGTCAGCCGGCCGGCGTCCATGTCAGCACCGACCGGCCAAAAGTGGCCGGATGGACTGAATTGACATAATTGTAAAAGGTTTAGGACTGAATTGGCACAATTGCAAAAGGTTAAAGACTTTTTTGGTAATTTTCCTGGTCGTGATTCTTGTAACGATAAGCGAGTAGGAGCAGCCGTTCCGCCTCCAAATTCTGTGTGCCGTCAGAGAGCTTTATCTGTGGAGATCTTATCGTCTTTACAGCATGCATACGGGTGGCACGAAGCTAACTGAGGAGGTACGGCCGATACACAATTCGGCTTCTCGTGCGATCTTGGACCACACCTCACAAGATATGTCCATTGTCATTGTACATGCTTCTTATTAATTTAGTTCCTAGCAATTGTACACGCAAAATAAAATTGACAGTTGATAGACCGAGCAACATTATTTTATTGCTAAATGTTTGAATTATTAAATAGTGAAAATAAATTTTTGATAAAGAAATACATAATTTACAAAGGAAATGTAAAATAATACGTGGAAAGATACAAATATTTCAATTTTTTAAGGAAGATTGTTATTGGATAGAAAAGATAAGAATTTAATGTTAAAACACATGATAGATTATATCAAATTATTAACTTAAGCATTTGCCTGTGATTCGATATTTGTAGAATAAGTTACTAAGGACATTTTGGGAAAAAAAGAGATTGGGATCTCATAAAAATAGGAGATCCTCTTTACTTTATGTAATAGTGTAGATAAAAAGAGTATTATCGATATCTTATTGGGATCCTCTAGAGTTAGGAAGGAAATTTACCCGTTAGATTTTTCATTCGATAGAAATGTCCCTATGTCTTGGAGAGTTTCCACAAAATGCGACATCACATCCAAGCCCCTCTCTCTCCCCCCTCCTCTCATCTCCGACACTAATGCACATTCGCCTCCAGCCCCGCCACCGAGCTACAGTCATCACGCTCTGTCCCATTGCCGCCGCTAGCCCGTGCCTCTGGCAGCATCACGGTCTCTCTAGACCTTGCTTCTGTTTGTGGGCGCAACCTGGTGATAATCGAGGTCACGACCTCCCTAGCGTACTTGGACTTTGAGGGGGGTGGGGGGTCTGGCGGTGTCAAGGGGCAACGGATGCGTGGTCCTCCAAAGTGGTAAAGGTCGCTTGGCGGTCATGCCCAGTGAACAGATGCATCCAATGGTAAAATAGGAAAGAAAAAAGAGGGAGAAAGGGAAATAGAACGGGGAAAGGATATGAAGAAAGTATTCTGCGTCTCAGCTATCCTATTTGCTAATCTTCAGATCTTAAGGGGTATCTTCACCTAAATTTGAAGAAAAGTAATATTAGAGGTTCCTAACATGTAATTGCGATTTCTTTGAACCTAATATTACGAACTGACCTACCTAATTTGGAGGCATGGCATCTCAGTCATTGTGGATTTTAGTCAGGAGAATCTGTAGTTGCAGAACTTTTTCTGAGTCACTTGCAAGTGAATCGTATAGCTGAGGATCAATACGATATAGGATATGGACAAATAGTAACAAAGTTTGCAAGACTCCTTTCTGTCTGTCATAAAAGATTCTTACAAGACCAATCACTCCATACTGGCTAAAACAATATGACCCCTTACAAAGAAATTACGACCGAGTCTTTATTCTAGCTGAGTCATCTTGACCTCAGTAAGATAAGATTCCTTAACTAAAAACATTAGGGAAATCATTAAAGAAACTCCAGAGGAATAGTTTTGCAGCTTTTATTTTTCATATCAATGTCTACACTTAAAAACTTTCTTTCAATCTCAATGACTGATCAAAAGGAAATTTGTTGCCATATCAAGGTTTACATGTAGTATATCAAGGACTTGAACATTGTAAGTGGATTTGCATCAGGGTGCACTACAATTGGATCAAAAGAATTTCTACAAGTGCCGCCATTAACTGTGCAAATCGGTTGATACCACGCGTCATGCTTATTAGGGGTGTTCCAGAAAAGTAACATTATGAAATGTTCTCTATTGCTGAAACTATAGTTGGAATCCACTGTTTGTGTTTGCTGATGGGAGCTTTCCATAGCTACCTCAGGCCACAACGGTTAACCTAGCGCCACCATTGCAAAGCATGAAAAAGCTATGATGGATCCAACAAAGTCAAACGAACTCATTCACGAGAATAAACACCCTTTCACTTTCGATTATAGTATCCCATTTTAGTTGTCGTGTTCTTTGGCATAAAGTGGACCTTTAATGCTGTCGGGTTCCCTTTATCTTTCCTCCGGTAATTGAGTAAGTCCCACTGGCGTTGCTCGGGGAAGTTCTTCCATATCCAGACTTCAGAATAATTCAGCAAAAGAATAAATCTCTCTCTTTTTGTGTGGTTTCAAGAAGCTAGTGGTGGGGAAGCTTCCGGTATCTCAGATAACAAGTCGCGAAATACTGACATCGCAATATTGCTGGCAAGAAAAACGAGGGCCATCGGTTACGAGACCCCATATCAATCCCAGGACTTTGAAGAAGCATGAATTATTTTATTAGAATTATTATTTTGTGAAGTGGTCAATTTGGAGAAGATTCATTCACAGAACAGAAGTGCCGGTCCAACGTCGTGTAGAGGGGGTCGAAGCACCACCGGTGTTAAAGACTGTTGGTTACGCGTCGAGGTTAGAAATATTGGGGGAAAACTGTCAGTCAACGTGAGTTAACAAGCGAGACCGCACCAACTTTTGATGTAGCTCTCTCTCTCGCTTTTGTTTTCTTCTTGGGGGTTTTCGCTCTCCTTTGATTGGCGATTCGAGAGGACTAGTGGTTTGACCCGATGGGGATTGTTTTTTCGGTGGAGATGATCAACTTCACTTCCATCAACGTTGATCGAAGAGACCAGCAAATAGCAATCACCATACATGTTGGTAGGAAAGAAAACGACTTATACTTAACGGCAACCAACACCTGGAAACAACTATCAAACCCTAATCTCTCTCTGTCCCACTCTGTGTATCTCTCTCTCTCTCTCTCTCTCTCTCTCTCTCAGCCATGCACCAACGCATGGGCAAAACCACCGGTCCAGGTCAACCTACTTCGCCTTTGTGTGTCCAAAGAAAACCCTGATATATACCTCCTTGCCTCATCTTTAGTCCATTGTCTTCTCTTTTATTCCTCTTGAAACTTCTCTGCTATCTTCTTCTCTCTCTAGAAAGGAAGGATGAGAAAACCTTGTTGTGACAAGCAGGACACAAACAAAGGGGCATGGTCGAAGCAAGAAGACCAGAAGCTCATCGACTACATTCGCAAGCACGGCGAAGGATGTTGGCGAACTCTTCCTAAGGCTGCCGGTACGTCAATTTCTTTGGCCTCGCCTTATAGATGACGTTATAATTAGTTACTAGTTACGATGTTCGAAAGATTCAGAGTTTTGGGGAAATGTATGGCGAACAAAGACTAAATGTGTGTTTATTTTCTTGTGCATTGATTAGGTCTACTTCGTTGCGGGAAGAGTTGCAGGCTAAGATGGATAAACTATTTGCGGCCTGACCTCAAAAGAGGCAACTTTGCTGAGGATGAAGAGGATCTTATCATCAAGCTTCATGCTCTTCTGGGCAACCGGTATGGCAATATACTAGACCCTATGGATATTTTCATATAGGTTCGCTTTCTCGAATTGAAGCCTAATTAATTCAGTGAATCACCTCGTCCCTTTCTATAAAATGTTTTTCCGCTGCAAGTTGCATGTTAGAGACCAGAAAATTTTCCAAAGCAGAGTAGGTGCGCTTTTAAACAAGGAAACGACTTTTTTTTTCGGTCGAATCAAGAAAACAACTTCACATGCTAGGATTCATCACGTCTTACTTTCATATTGTCCATTTTTCTTGGCCACAACCTTCATCTAGAAAGTTTAATGCGCATTTTTTTTCTAGGTAAGTCAATATATTAGCGGCATATTTCGACCAAAATATATATATTAGCGGCATAGATAAGAAAAGCCTTCGGGCTTCATTTAAAGGGCGCTAGAGAATTTGGCTTTGTATCCACACAACAGAAGAAATAAGAAATATACATAGTGATCAAGCAAAAACGAACGTGGCCGTTGAAGAAATTACGTTGCTGATGTTAAATTTGGTATCATGTAGAATCATATTAGTTCTAATTTTTGTAGTATGAAGTTATGGTTGGATAAAAGTAGTTGACCTAAGTCGTTTCTTTTCATACATAGATGGTCGCTAATTGCTGGGAGATTGCCTGGACGGACAGACAATGAAGTGAAGAACTATTGGAACTCACATTTGAGGAGGAAACTAATAAACATGGGCATCGATCCTAACAATCACCGGCTAAACCAGACTCCACCTCGCCTTGAAAGCTCGAACAATATCTCCATTAGCGCGACTTCTTCTGGATTGAAGACTCGCCTAAGTCCGCAGCAAAAATACTGTGGTGGCGACAAAGACCAGGTTTCAGACGCTGGGAGTTGTCTGGAAGATGAACCTAGCAGGTTGCCAGACTTGAACCTTGACCTAACAATTAGCATTCCGTCTCCTTCGCCTGCAAAGATTGAGAAAGTGCGAAACCCTAGTTCTTATAAGCATGACATGTCAAGGGACTCGGAAATTGCTCCATCATCGACTCTGGTTCTCTTCAGATAACCAATTGGGCACACCAATTAATCATTAGGCAGATTAGATTGAGCAGGCCCCTGATGAATATTTGAAAATTAGGGCAACCTAGCCGAGGTGATTCTATGACAATATACGGGATGGCGTTTCCCGATACATATCATTTTGTGAAGTCTAAATCAATTAGCAAGGATTGATATGATTCATCAAGCTTAATTTGATGAACTATATAAAGAAGCAATGAGCTCGAGCCTATCGAGAGTTGAATCTTATTGGCCCACTTCCGTAGAGAATTGTTCAATATAATCTCTGGAGTGGAACGGGCTTAAATGATGTATTGCCGAGAAGGATAGGGGGATTAAGAGGAGATTGGTGGGAGCTTGCCGTTGTAAATTTAATCAGCTAAATAGATAGGTAGATTCAATTCTGTTAACATACATGTACTCGAGATCTGCCATAGACATATATATTTATTGTTGAAATGTATCATGATCAGCTAATGACCGAATTTATATGGTCCTTAAAGTTTCTGTGTTTGAAATGCGACGCGTCTATTACATGAAAATTGCTATTGATAAAAAAGAACTCTGAACATCGATCTTATTATGATGAACATGTCCCAAGAGAACATGTACAAGTACATGGTAAGAATTAAGCTCGCTTAAGCAGACTAAGATATGAAGCTTTTTAGTTTTTCCCTATGTTCCTCTTGATAACCCTTGTTGAGAATATTGGCCAACTATGGATAAGGAAAGTTGGCAGCATTATATGGAAATAACCCAAGATTCCATTCAGAAAATTAATCCTGCCAATTGAATGTTTGTAGCATATCACCTATGCAAGGTTTAATTTTGAAGTCTAACTTGAAATATTTTGAGGTAACCCTAATGGTTAATTGGTTGACTGACAGAGTCAACACCAACAACCACCAAACATTCCAACCAAAGTTTTAATCCATTGAAAACGCGATTCAAACCCCTCTCTGCTCCTCTATTGATTGTGGCATTTCCATTAATCTAGAAAAGTGCAGTGGAGTTTCATTTCACCAGTTTCGGTTGACCATACTATAGATATGTACGAGAGAAATTCTTGACATTTTCCTCCTGAGTGACAAGTTCTTGTCTTGATCCATCACCACTAGCTACCATTCTTTTGGTTGCGTTTGTTGAATATCCTATTCTGGCGAAGTCGTTTAAAGCAGAATAAGAGAGCAGAAATTGGGTGCAACGAAACGAGCTACTCTTACCGGTCGAAATTTCAAGTCATGATACTCGAATTTGAACTTTGAAATTAGTCACGATCTTTTTTTCAACCGTCGAAGTTTGATATCCTCGATGAGTTAGAGGTTTGACTCAAGATGATCAAGTCCTAATAGAGTTTGTAACCCTTCGAGCTTGAAAATTAAAGTTTGAAGAAAGGATAATAAACAGAAAAGGCAACAAAAGAAAAAGAAGAAAAAAATGTAAAAACCTTCGTTTGCCAGTGAAGTATTGACAAAATAGAAGAAATGGGGTCAAATATTATAGAACGACCTATATGCCTCCAATCCAAACAGAAACTATTTGGCTCAAGCGTTCGCATGCTGAACTTTTACAAATTTACCATTCGTAGTTGCATGTCTTTAGAACTTGTTAAAACAAAATAGTAGTTTCCCAAGGATCAAAGATAAGGAACGGGAGCAAGATATGGCTTTTTACTAGGTAGAGACAAGTATGCTTTTCTGTTTTTTTTACAACCAAAACCGATCCTCCATCTCCAATACCGGCTCCTTGATTACACTGCCCACATCAATATGTTAAGGATGTTTAAATATTAAACCCTGCACTCATCTAATAGCTTAAATTTTTTGAACAGTTGGCAATGGTCCCATTAAATTTCATCAGAGAAGAAGGTCTTCACTTCAAATCTTTTCAAGTCTCTTATTTGCTTCCCCCCATTATATTTTTTTTCGCTCTCAAGTCTACTTTAAATCACGCATTCATCTAATAGTTTAAGTTCTTGAAACACTTAATAGTGATCCCACAAGATTTTACACTGAATATAATGAAGTCTGAATTTGGACGGTGTCCACATCTTGTAACTCACCAGACATTTCCTCCAACAGTTCAATTAGGAACGGAGGAAATTACAGCTCTATTGAAAGCTACTTATTCCAAACAAAATTAATAAGTCAACTTAAACGGGTAGAGAACTGCCGATAAATGAAAGACTAGGGAGGAAATGCTGATATAGCTTCAGGAAATGGTCAATTTCGAGCAAGAGCTCGCATGAGGCCTACTGCTACTGCTACTGCTAGAGTAATGTTGACCTCACCACATTAGGGTCTTAAAATGTCTGTGCCGTATAACACGGTCTTAAAACGGGATTGAAACGACATATGCAATTCTCACTTTTTTCCTTTTCTTTTGGTTTCTTCAGTCCTTTTCCTTCGACAAACATGTATCTACTCTCACTTTTGTTCATATTTATTGATCTATTCTTGGTGAAACTGCAAATATATTGAGCGGCGAAATTGAAAGGAACCGTAGCTAAAGAGAACTCCGTCTGTCCTGATAAAGCTATGTGGATGTTTCGTTGGAAAATATCAAATGATTGACTGTGAGACTGGACAACAACCTAAGACGCCTTCCCAAAAGCACTGCCCGGAATCTGAAGAGGAGAAGCTAGATACTCCCGTGTATGCTTATGCATCGGCTGGGGGAAGTCTTATGCATCTCATGATTTGTATGAGAGCGGACATTGCTTTTGCAGTAAGTATGATTAGCAGATCCCAAGAAACCAGGGAAGAGCACACTGGATGGCTATTCAATGGCTTTTTAGATACTTGAAGCGAACTTAAAGTACCAGACTCATGTATCGAGGCGGGGATATGCAATTGATTGGTTATTCAGATTCTGATTATCAAGAATGGTTAGATACTCGAGAATCAACCTCTGGTTATGTTTATATGTAATGTGGTAGTGCAAAGTCTTGTAAGGAAACAAGAATCTGATGCACAATCCACTATGGAAGCATAAGAAGAGGCTCTCAATGATGCAGCGAAAGAAGCCGTGTATCTCAGAAAGTTTCTTTCTGAAATCCTGATTGTAAATTGCTTTCAAAAGACCAATTACTATATTTCGCGACAACAATTTGGCTATAACTATCACTAAGAGATAATTGATGCTACACTCGTGCAAATCATACCGAAGCTCATAGTCACTGCATAAGAGACATGATTAAGAAGAACGAGATAAATGTAAACGGAGTTGCTTCAAAAGAAAACTTGACGGATTGCTCAGCAGTGCTTCGCTACCTACCGTACCTGGCGGAATACCTTTACCAAAGGATTGCCCTTTGGAATGTTTGAAACACTAGTGCATAACATGGGATTGTGTTAGGCCAAGTATGAAACTGTAAGAACTGTGTGGCCAAACAAAATCGATATATAAATAACGATAATAACCTTAATTTTGCGCTTACCAGTTTCAGTAGTATGTAAGAAGCTCATATAGTCCTTGATTTGACCACATCTGAGGAGATACTGTGTTATTGCAAGTGTGTGTCTTAATTCTGATGCAGGTTAGAGTTATTCGGAGAAGGACTAACATTTTCATGTTGAATGGATCCAGCGCATTGATGGATCAGCGATTTCTAACAAATCAAATGTGAAAAAGACTCGGTCCAAGAAAGCGCAACGAAACCTAAGCACATGCTTTGAAGTATTGGAGCCAGCGAACAGTGAATCTAAAAGCTGCGGTTCTCGTAACAACTCCAACAGCTTTTCATATGAAGGAACAAAACTTTAATGTGAACCTCATTTAAGGGCTACCCAGAAAAGGCATCCAGTGCAGCTGCAGTCTCACCTGCATGTCGGTGGCAGCTTGCACGCTTTTAGGGCATGAAACCAAACTGACACTATGCAACTTGGCCTTAGTTTCTCAATATCGTACAAGTTGAGTAGTGAGTAGTTAAACTTGTGCTTGAAAACGTAGATGGCACGTATAGTATCTAGATTTCAAGAGAGAGAGAGAGAGAGAGAGAGAGAGAGGATGCATGGATGCAAAGAGCTCTTACTTATATCTCTCACCTGCAAGTCTTCCCACGAGAGAACAGTTGCTGTTTGGTGTGCGTCCGACGTCTGCGCGACGAGCAACAGAGCCTACTGCAGTGTGTGCTTTTTCCTTCATGAGCGGTAGTCATGAGGAGTGTTGAAACTCCCGCCAGTTGTAGTTTTAGCATAATTTGGGATTTGGTTGGGCATTTCAAGATGAAAATCAAGAATCGGTATTTGAGCAGTTCCCTGTTGTGCCCCTCGTTTCGTTACTAAACAAGTATAATTTATAATACCTGTGGCTGTAGTCATTTTGAAATTACTTCCACTAAAATGAATATATGTAGTCCTTATGTTACCAACGAGGGTAACAAAAGTTTCTTTATATTTTATCGGATTAATACCACGAAAAATCCCAAATTGGTACACCTGTGACAAATTGACCAAAAACTAATCTTTTGAACATAAAAAACTCCAAACTAGTACATCAGTAATAAATTTACCCTAAACTAATTTTTTTACTACCAAAAACCCCAAGTACATTTGCAACAAATTTACCCTTCGTTAAATTGGATTAATATCATGAAAAAACACAAAATAGTACACATGTGATAAACGGAGGGTAAAACCCCAAACCGGTACACTAATCTATTGTCACGTGTCATCAAATTCAGAAATATGATGGTAAAATTTAATGGAAACTAATGAAGGGTAAAATTGTTACATGTGTACCAGTTTGGGGTTTTTCGTGGTCAAAATATTTGTTTGGGAGTAAATTTGTGACAAGCGTACTAGTTTGGGGTTTTTCGTGATATTAATCCTATTTTATCTGAGTATTAAGAACTACCTCACTGCTTACCATAGATATTGTTCCAATTGAGGAAACACGCATAAGTAATCTGTTATATGTAGCATGTATCATCTTGTTGATGGATATCTAAAAAGATTTCAGCTAATATTTATGTGCCTGCATGAATGAAATATCTCCTGTTGACCGAGAAAATGGAATTTAACTTATCATGATTGTTTATCATGATTGTTGCTTTAAGAATCAACTTCAACTGTTTACAATCATGCAAGTTAGATATAAACATAAATCGTATTAACAATGTCCACCAACTCGTGCATCCGCACAGGCGATCCAGTACTTAAGTATGTGTAATTTTGTTCAGTTAGTTCTCAGTATTTTTGATAGGTTACATAGCAACCTTATTTGGGAAATATCTGGAAGTGTATTTCACTAAACCCCCTTAAGGCTAAAGGGTTTTGCACTTTCCTAAATGTTTTTCCAAAAACCGAACCGAACGCACCCAACAAGAATGTCTGATGTCTCATTTGGGCTGCCCATAGCAAAAACCCATCAAACCAAGAATGTCTGATTTGGGCCCTTTACATTGGCTGATGGGTGTTAGACGTTTATGGTCCCTTAATCCCGAGACTAATCATGATTCAAACCAAGAGGCTGGATGGGAAACGGCCAGAAATTCACGAAAATAGCCGGTTCAAGGGAAAAACAAGATAAACAAACCTTGGAGTCGGAACAACAATACATGCGTCACACTTCCATCCGAATCAGATAAAGAGTTGTGACTATCGAAGCGACACAACACGCGAATTCTTATTTCGAGATCATCTATTCGTCTTATACATGTTCGTGATATTCAGCCTTTTACAACTGCTACCATGCCACTTGAATGACCAAAATGATTCTAAAAGCAACATTCATATGGGAAAAAATGTCAAACATAGCTGTATTAAAAAGGTGTATAGAACTGTTCACCATCCAAGGCGGCCACGAGAAACCCAGCGCCGGATTCCCTAATCTGTTTTGTTTTTCTGGAGGAGGCGAAGCCGCTTTCCATCGTCTAAACCCAGAATCAAAGCAGGTCTCATCCCCCGGGTTTACGGTTCAATCGAGCAATCATAATACCACGAAGTCAATAATGCATTAGCACAAGAACGCACGAATTGCGTTTCACGAGGACTGTAAAATTGTTTGACCATACATGTTTCTAGATCTCCCCGTTCTCTCTGCGAAGTAATAGTTATATTCCATCTTATGGTTAGAAATGGACAAATTCTGCTAACGGGGATGAATGAAATGAATCCATGGGCACTAATCTTTCAATGGCAAATCTGAACGCATCTTATATGATGTCATGTCATTTAGCAAAAAAAAATTAGTAAAAACCTTATTACCCTCGACATTTGCTCTATGTATACTATGATTTTCAAATGGTTCGTGGTTCCTATAGATTGCTTGGTCCTTGTTCTCCGTCAAATTCGAAATAACCCACTTGATCTTCCAATTTGATCAGCGTAGTGTTCTCTCTTCGTTCAAACATTGACATGATCCGAGTCTTAAGAGTTTCCAAAACTGGGCTAAAAGTCTCTCAAAAGTCGACGTCATAAGAAGAACTTTGCATTCGAGAAAGTTATAATCAACGATCTTCCCATGATCCATATGACCTTCAAATCAAATCCAGAGACAAATCTGACATTCTGGCCGTCATTGTAAACCTAAACCGTCATGCTTAATTTCAATCCCCGTGATCAACGTGGATAGATTTATCTTAGAATGTGAAAACTATTAGGATTAGTCAGCCATAACACGTTCCACGTCTCACCATATTAGACAACAAAAATTATAGTACATTTGAATTAAGTATTCAGCTCAAGACAAATATACCTTGGAATGCGGTATTTCACATACATTCCCTCAAGAAGTTTTCAAAGTTGGCTTCCTTATTGACCAAAGACCCTCAACACCTTCTATAAGATAAAACTATAAAGATACCCTGATTGTCTCCTCAAATTAGAGCTCATTCATTTCGTTCAATAGACAATTTTTGGCCATTATTCTTATCATTGCCATCCATCAATGGGAAACGCCCAAGGAGGAGCTACAACAGCCAAAATTATGAAAGTAACCGGCAAAACGATGAAGCTAAGCATGCCAGTGCATGCCGGAGATGTCGTCAAGGACTACCCGGGTCACGTGTTGCTAGAGTCGGAGTCAGTGAAGAGTCTAGGGATCAAATCGAGACTGCTACAACCGCACCAAGAATTGGAGCATGAGCGGTTGTATTTCCTAGTGGAATTACCCAAAGAGGTTGTAAACGGTGATAAACCTGGCAGACGTTTCCAGCCTGGAAACGGGCCAAGCGCAAGTGATCGGCTCGATGGCTTAATGCTAGCTCGGCAACCGGTATCCGATCTTTCTACTATGAGTAGGGCTGCCATTTTGTCGAAAGAAGGAAATGGGCATGGTGGCATGAGGTTGAAGATGAGACTTCCGAAAGCTGAAGTGGAAAAGTTGATCAAAGAAAGCAAAGACGAGGCTGAGGTTGCCAACAAGATAATGGAGCTTTATGTTGCATTAATGAATGCTAATGACGCTAATGACGCTAATGACACTAATGAAGGATTAGTTGCACGAAGAGCAATTGCCATGGAAGGGTCGAAGCATGTCATGAAGACTCGTGAGGTATTTCTGGATATCCTAAGACAATTGTCTTCATTTCATGCCATCATGCGTCTGTGTCCAAAGGATCATAACAACATATTTTTCCTCAAAAAGCCTTTCCGCTTTAAAAGTTCTTAATTTGTCTAAGCTTAATTTAGCACATCAAGGTAGTTTCGCAACATATGACTGGACCTTTTTCAAGTTCTTGCACCTCATACTGGAAAATAAAGAACGGCAATTCTTGTTTATGCGCACGTATCTTATATCTTTAGCAACAACGTTGGTACTTACGATTTTCTATAATTGCAGAAACGGGTAAGGTTCCTACCAGTCGTTGAAGATAAGCAAGTTACCATGGCTTCTTAAGAGCCATAGAGCAGGAATGGTGAACTACTGGAGGACCTGAAGTCTGCTTACTGCTCTATAAATTTTAGAGTACATTCATGACCAAGGACTGAGAAAATTAGTGTACTAATCTTGCGCGGGTCGAAATCTTGTCCTTATATATGATGTGAGAAATCACGGACATGGTTATTCTAATAAGCCAATTTGCAAATTTCCTGTGTTATTTACTTGAGCTTTATGCTGTGTTTAACTTCTCTCAAGAACACAAAAGTATGACAACTCGAGAGACCTAATTCAACCATATTATCGAGTAGTGAGATAAAAAAATCTATATTGGATCTCAAAGGATGAACTTAAGAGACCTAATGTACTTGCACCGTTAGATTCCCGAATCAAACTACATGTTCCAACAGATACGGTTCTGCCTGAGTTAATATCGACTCTTGTTTACTTTATGGATGAATAGGATATGCCAATAGTTCGCAATGTAATTCATGCGCTTATCTAAATATTACAAACCATGTCTAAAAGTAATTTGTATATGTATGGCAAATGACATGTACTTCATGACTTTGTGAGCTTACATCTTAATTAAAACACAGAATGCACTTCAACGTGATCGTTTGACATTGAGAAAGAAACTCGATGTGGGGTGTTTACATTTAGGAAAAAAACCACCAAAACTCTAAACTACACTCACCATGATCGTGATAAATTTACCTTATTTTTTGTTACACCAAAAATTTCAAATTTGTACCCATATGATACATTTACCTTCCATCAAGCAACCGTTAATAAGCACCATAAAAAAATCAGCCTATATGGACGACGGAAGGAAAACAGATCTTAACTGAAATAAAACAAAATCATTTATGACAAAACCTTAATTCTTTTGAAACCTCAACCCGTAGATTCGGTATTGTATTCAATGTGATACTTATTTAGAGCCGCCACTTTCATGTAAGTGGTTGTGTTTGTTTAAGTGAAAAAAAAATTCGCGAATTAGTTTTCTGAACTTTCACGCGATTGGTTTGCTGTAGTCAACGAAAAACCATATACGGTCAAATAAAATATGCATGCTTAAATTAGGAAAAAGGATTTCCCTAACCTCAAAGATGAAATATTTTCTTGCTTTCTGGAAAGTATTTTCCT